TTCAACATTTATGAGGTTCTAGCCAGAACAGTTAGGTAAGATAAGTAAGACTAAAAAGGAAGAAGTAAACTGCCCTTGTTTGCTAATAACATGATTTTATACATATAAAATGCTAAGTAATTAACTAAAAAACCAATGGAACTAATAAAATTAATTCATCAAGATTGCAGGAAACATAATGTACAAAAATACTTTATGAACAATCTGAAAATTAAATTAAGAAAATAATTTCATTCACAATAGCATCAAACAGAATAAAATACTTAGGAATAAATTTAACAAAAAGAAGTACACATTTCAAAAATTAGAAAACATTGTTGAAAGAAATTGAAGATCAAAACAAATGGAAAAATCTCTCCTTTTCATGGATCAGAAAATTTAACATTGTTACTTAAGGCTGCTATTCCCCTAAATGTCAAGAGCTAAACCTATAAAACTATTGTTTTGGCAAAAAAGTTCATTTGTTTTTTTTCCCCATGACATCTTACAGAAGAAATCAAATGAATATTTTGGCCAACCCAATCCTAGAAGAAAATAGAAGGCTAAGTCTTGACCTTGGATTCAGCAAAAGTATTCTTAGATACGACAACAGAAGTCCAAGCAGTGCATATCATCAAAATTAAAAACTTCTATGCTTCACAGGACACCACTAAGAACCTGAAAAGACAACCTACACAATGGAAGAAAATACTTGCAAATACTTTATTTGATAAAGGATATCCAGAATATAGAAAGAACCAACCCATACAACTCAATAATAAAGACAAATCTGGGGCTTCCCTGGCGGTCCAGTGGTTAAGACTCCTGAGTTCCCACTGCAGGGTGTGTGGGTTCAGTCCCTAGTTGGGGAACTAGGGTACCACATGCCACGTAACACATTAAAAAAAAAAAAAAAAAAAACCCTTACCCAAATAAAAAAGGAAAAAAGGATCTGAACAGACATTTCTCCAAAGAAAATATACAAGGAGCCAATAAACATGGGGGAAAAAAATGTTCAGTATCTCTCATCATTTGGGAGATGCAAATCAAAACCACAAGATACCACTTTACACCCACTAAGATGTGGATAGTACAAAAAAATTGGATTATGAGTTTTAGGAGGGATGTAGAGAAATCAGAAGCCTCTTATACTGCTGATGTGACTGTAAAATGGTGCAGCCATATTGGAAAACAGTAGGATGGTTCCTCAAAAAGTTAAACCTAGAGTTACCACATGACATAGCAGTTCCACTCCTAGGTACATACTATCCACCCACAAAAAGAAAAAAATGAAAACATATGCCCACAAAAATTTATACACAAATGTTTATAGCAGCATTATTTATAATAGCCAGAATATGGAAATAAATGTTTATCAACTGATAAATGCATAAATAAAATGTGGTGTATCCACAATGGAATGCTAACCTCCAATAAAAAGAAATATTTTTTTTTGATGGTTAAAATTTATTAATTTTTAATTGGAGGATAATCGCTTTACAATACTGTGCTGTTTTCTGCCTTATATTAACATGAAATCAGCCATAGGTATATGTATGTCCCCTTCCTCTTGAACCTACCTTCCACCACCTACCCCATCCCACCCCTAAAAAGAAATGAAGTATTGATATATGTTACAACTTGGATGAACCTGGAAAACATGACCTAAAGTGAAAGAAGCCAGCCACAAAAATGCACATATTATATGATTCCATTCATATGGAAGTCCAGAATAGAGAAATCTATAGAATCCATAGATCTATAGAATCTCTACAGGGATTCATAGTTGCTTACTGCTTCATGAGGAATGGGGTGGGATGAGGAGGATGGAGAATGATAGCTAATGGGTATGAGGGTTCTTTTTGAAGTGATAAAAATGTTCTAAAATTGGTCATGATGATGGCTGCAAATATCTGAATATACTAAAAAATTACTGAATTATACACTTGAAGTGGATGAATTGTATAGTCTGTGAATTATCTCTCAGTTAAGCTGTTAAAAAAAAAGTCTTCATGTACCATTCTAGAATAATCTCCAAAATATTTTGTTAAATAAGAAAATAAGATGCAAGAGTTTAAAAAAAAAGTTATTCCATATTCTGTATGTAGGTTGTGTATCCTATAGTTACATGAATCTATAAATGTGTTAAAATACATAGAACTGTCCAAGAAAAGAAAAAAAGGTAATTTTATTGTATGATGATGTAGAAACATAAAATCTTTAAAAATACAGTAGAATTGAGAGAGGAGAGACAGTGTCACCAGAGTTGGTAGTTCTGGTGGTGGACATTGGGAGAATCTTCAAGAAGAAGGTTACACTTGCAAGTACCTTGAAGGATGGTTTGGCTCTGGACAGATATTTAAGGAGAGGTTTGATAAAGAAAAGAAAATCATTTCAGACAAATGTTAACAATGGCTAAGAGTACAGGGTAGGGAATTTTTTTTTTTAATTGGAGCATAATTCCTTTACAGTGTTGTTAGCAGGGTGGGGAATTTGTGACCATCTGGGGAGCATTAAAATAGCTCAGTGGTTAAAAAAAAAAAAAAATCCACCTGCCAACGCAGGAGACACAGGTTCAGTTCCTTGGTTGAGAAGATCCCCTGGATCTTTCCACTGCGGGATCTTCCCACTCCAGATTTCTTGTCTGGGAAATCCTATGGACAGAGAAGAGCCTGGCGGGCTACTGTCCATAGGGTCACAAATAGTCAAACGTGACTTAGCAACTAAACCACAAAAGGGAGCATTAATTGTTCAACAGGATGCATACAGGAAAGAAAAGAGATTGTGGATTTCCCTGTGTGTCAGGTTAAGACCTGAACACTTTGTTGTATGGTCACTGGTGAGCCATGAAAGGTACTTGATGAGAACTCTGCCTTAGGGATATTATTTCATAGAACTGCTAACAGGTAAGTTTAGACCAGTTAGAAGGCTGTTATATTAATTTAGTTAGAGAATGAGGGACTAATACAGGTGGTGGAGATCTGAGATGGGAACAGATGGAATCAATATCGTGAAGAATGTGGAGCTGGCTGGAAAGGAAGAAAAAAGTCCCCAAAATTGGCCCTTTGGTTTTGAGCCTATGTGACTGGGATGATAATACTGTTAGGAAAAGGAAGGAAAAGCAGAGAAGTTGATGAGTTTAGGTTGGGATTTGTTTAGCTAAGGGATTTGAGGAGCTAAGAGATCTCTAAGTAAGAGACTTAAATGGCAGTTAGACAGGGAACCCTGTGTATGGTCAGCACCACACCCACAGATTAAACCAACCTTGCATGGAAAATATTTGGGGATAAAAATCTAGAAAGTTCCAAAAGGCAAAACATGAATTTGCATCACATTGGCAACTACTTACACAGCATTCAGACTGTATTAGGTACTGTAAGTGATCTAGAGATGATTCAAAATATCAAGAGGATATCATAGGTTATATAAAATGTGAGAAAGATATATGGTAATACAATCAGAATTTTGAGTTGGGAAAGCTGGAAGTCAGGAAAGCTTACATTGGATAACCTCAAGTTTTTTCCCATAAAATAAGCAAGGTCATTCATAGAGTGGAAAGTAGGGGATAGAATTAAAGAGTGTTTCTAAGCAGCTTTAAATATTTTCTCTAATTCTGCCCTTTGTATAAATGAAAAACAAATGATCCACATCAATTATAACAGGTAATATTTACTGAGCCTTTACCATCTGCTAGGTATCATGCTAAAAGCTTATTTCAAACTTAGAACATCCCTAACAGACAAAAGGTATTAGCAGTTTTATCCACATATTACAGAGGGTAATACATGAGACAGACAAAGGATTGGAAACAGCTCAAGGTTACCCAGCTAATCAGAGGTAGAACCAAGACCAAATACAAGATCTAACTATGAGCTGGTCACGGGATATTTTCTGAGGTTTTACTTTCAAATTTCTTTAAAGCAGTGAAATATTGGTTCAAGAATTTACATGGATTAAGGGAAATAGAATACAAAGTATGTATTCCATGTATACAATGGAATGTAACTGCAATAAAGTTAATAAATGGAGAGAGGATGGCTTGTTTAATAAATGCACTAAGACAGATAACTATCCACTTTAATTTTTCTATTTAATTTTGATCTTCTGTTTAAAGTACATATATAGCAGCAATCAGAGCAGTGGTTGTTTATGGTAGGGCTGAGATGGACTCGGGGCACAGGGAAAACATTATAGGATAACAGCAATATTCTATAATTTGATTAGAATGTTAACTACATGTTTTGGTCAAAATTCATTGAAATGTACATTTAAAGTCTGTACATTCTACTCTATGTAAATTTTATAGCAGTTTTAAAAAGGAAAATCTATCTATAGACCTCTAAGACATCATTAAATGAAAAAAAAAAAAAAAAACCCAAACTATTGTGAAAAAAAATTTAAAAAGCAAACTGTAAGGTGAGGCATACAATATAATACCATTTATTTATAAGAAAGGGAATAATTCTTTCTGTGGATCACTTGTGTATATATGTAAATGTCTCATGGTTCTTGGGTCAAACTGCCCTACTCCACCAAGAGGTCCTTCCTCCAGGATCAATCTTAGTGCTCTCAGGGTTTCTTTCTGGGATGCAAAGAAAGACTTTTATATTACAACATCATTAGCTTAAGAGTAAAGCTCTCCACTGTTTATAATACTCATAATAGTCTCCAGTGAAGAAAGATATTTTTTCAGGAAACTGTACCTAAAAAACATGATGTGTTTATATAATGATTTTGAAAACTAGTACATCTTCAGAAGCAGCCTTGTATAACGGGGCTGAATGGGTTGCGTTCTTGTCCTGACTCTGCCACTTGATTAGACTGATGTTTTGGAGCAACTCCTTTAATCTCTCTGGGCTTCAGTTTTCTTTTGGTTAGAAAGAATGGACTGAACTGATGACTGAGGGTCCATCGAGGCCTAAGATTCAATAAACTCTGTTCCTTCTCATGGAGCTTGTATGAAATAGGTCACCTCACCTACAATAAACATGTGGAAAGTCAGCTTTTCTCTTTTGAAACAGGTGACAACCAAAGCCAAGCAACTGAAGGATTCAGTTACCTGTTCCCCAGGTGAGTCAGCACCCACTCCATCCCAGTAATCTTAAGCCATGTCTTCAAAACAACCCCCCTTTCACAACTGCTTTAAAAATGATGGTGTTTAATAGTTGTGCCCAATGGACTCCACTGGTCATCTCTCTAAAAAGGGTCCATTTACAAGCACCCACCAGCCAATCCAGCCCTGCACACACAGTGGTGCTAAGATGTACTTAAATTTGAGGAGCTGTAGAAACCTTGTTCTTCTTTAGTATGGGGGGGAGGGGACACATGGGAAAGCCAGTCTATACCATTTTTTCCACGCTGACCACAGTTGCCACCACACACACACAGCATCCTTGAGAACAGATCAAGCAGTTTCCCCAAGAATCTGTGTTTTTCAGAATCCGTTTTCTCAAAGACTAAATGGAATTTTTAAGAACCCCATACGGTTTACTTGAAACCAGGAAGAAGTGCCTCTTCAACCTTTCAACTCTACTTAAATATAGGTCCCTGTACTCGATGTAACCAGCCAGCAACCAGCAAACCCTGAGATCTGGAAACGTCTCCCTGAGGAGGACAGGGCGCGGATGCTAAGGGCTCAAGGGGGAGGGCATTCCCGATTGCTTTCCCACCAGGACAGCTGTTGGTCTGGCGGGAAGGCCGGGACCGCCAAAGAGGGTTCTGTGAAAGATGCCCCCCTCCAAGACAGTCTCCAGAAACATGCTCTTGAAAAGGCAGCGGGGAGTTGGGTGGGGCCTGGACAGACAAGTCTTTCTAGAGAGTCGGAGGGGTCAGGAGTATGTGAGGAGGGCAGGAAAGGCGGGGTTGAACATTTGGGGGGTCTCTGAGGTGACACCTATGGTGGCGGTGGTGCGGGAAGCAGGTTGGTGCAGGGGCAGGGCCCCGGGGAAACAGCGAGCCCCGTGGAGGGTCTGACACATTCAGGCTGCTGACACTCGTGGAGTCAGCAGCAACCCTGGGTGCTGAAGAACATCATTTCTCAGCTAGAAAGTAGGCAGTTACTCCCTGCATTTCCTCTGATCACAGCCGACTCTGGAGGCCCCTGTTCCCCAGAGTGGTGGAAGGACCACGGCCCGTAATCAGACAGAAGCGAGTTCAGATCGCAGCTCTGCTGCTGCTGAGGCTGACGTGCCTCCTTGTACAACTAGGGTAGTGATGGCTATCTTTCTAGAATACTGCGAACATTCAGTAAAACACACACAAAATGCCCCACCACTGTCTGCTGCGGCGGCCACACCACCGTGGCTCCTGTTCCCTGAACCGACCTTGTCTCTCCACACAGGGATGGTCAGGCTCTCGGAACTCAGATCCACAGCTCAGAACTCCAGGCCCACCGCAGCCTTGCCGGACAGCATCATCACCCAGCGGGAAGAGGCCCAGTCCGCCACGGAGGAGGAGGAGGAGGCGGCGGCCGAGCCGGGGGTAGAGGCGGCGGAGGAGAGCCGGCCGCGCAGGCGGAGGCCGGCGCGGCCCGCCGAGCCGGAGGAGCGGGTCCGGGGGAGGAGGCAGAAGGACTTCGACCTGTCAGAACAGCGCGAGTTCAGCGACGAGGAGAGCCAGCAGAGAGCGCGCGCGCGAGCTGCAGAGGAGCCCTGGACTCAGAACCAACAGAAGCTTCTGGAACTAGCGTTACAGCAGTACCCGAGGGGGTCCTCTGACCGCTGGGACAAGATAGCCAAGTGCGTCCCGTCCAAGAGCAAGGTGGGTGACGCCGGGAAGGCAGGCCTCTGGGGGCTCCAGACACAGGGAAGCGGCTTGTGGCCCCACCTGACCGTCCCTCATCTCACGCCGCCTCCGATCCTCTTTCTACCCAACCCGTCCTTCCCCTGCCAGCTGCCTTCCAGTAGGCGTCCTCTGACTGTGAATCTGTGCACTCGACTGAGCATAAATGAGGTCAAGAGTCTAAATGTCATCATTACACCGACCAGTTATTTTTTCTCATCGAAAACCCCATGCACAGAACATAAAGTCCCCCACGACAATGCTACCAACCTTCTGGAGCCTTCGTTCTGCCAGTGGGGGCTGGGCCGGGGGAGGGACTGACAGGTGGACAGCAGGACCAGGATCCGGCTTGTCCCTGCAGCGCTGTCTGCTGTTTGCAGCTCCTTAAACACATCGGCAGAGGGTTCCCAGACACCAGCTCAGAAGGGGCGGCGGCCGCTGTGGAGAAGCAGGCCCCACCCGACCCCCCGCTTCGGCGCTGCCAGTGCGGAGCCTCCCACGTGATCTTCTCAACTCTGGCCCTGCCTGGCACACGCGGTCTCCTGGGCCGCTTTCCTCGTACCCATACCCCTTGTCTGAGACACCAGGAACACTGAGAAATCAAGAGACCCAATCTCTGCCTCCTTCTGTGCCCACCACTCAGTTAGCCTGTGGGCACACTGATGTTCATTTACATTCTTTTTTTAATTGATATTCAGTGTCGGAAAATCTAGCTCGTGGCCATGGATGTCCCCATGTGTATAGGTCTAGTTTATCTCCTTTAAAATGATGACGTTGAGAATTCCGGAGGAGAAAAATAAACCATTAGCAGTTGGTCTGTTTGAGAAACACAGTTCCTTCCTAGCCCCTCCAACTGATTTGCCAGAAGAAATGATTTTCCCTGAATTCCTCTAGCATTTGTGGGTACGCAGGCATTTACAGGTGGGATGAATTGACAGTGGCTTAAAATGAAGGAGCTGCAGCCATGGATTCCTCGGGGTGGGATGCTCAAACTCACTGCCTTGGGGCTTTGGAAACCTTCCTGTTTCAGGGAGGAATGTCCTGCAAGGGCGCCCTTTAAGCCTGACATCAGAACCAGGCCCAGGGGAGGTTCAGCCACCCCTGCTGGCTCGCTGCCCCCCGGGGTGACTCCCTGCAAGTGGCCCGCAAGCCACTGGGGCCTGAGAGAGGACCCGGGCCCCCGGCGCCGCCCGGGCAGGCCTGCTGCTCAGAGCCCAGAGCCCCCCGCGTCCTCCAGCGGAGCGCTGGGCTGCTGAGCACCACATTCCACACTCGGCTCTGCCAAGGGCAGAACAGTTAGGAAAAGGCTGATATTTTAGGCAGGTGGTCCTTGGGGATGCAGAAGAGGCACTTGTTAGGTGTTTCTCTCGGAACACTACTAAAACCAAAACCCCAGGAAGAGAGTGAACACTCATTCTTTGTCCCGGGCAGCTACATGACCTTAAGTTAGTGAAGGGTTACGGTGCCTCCCGGGTGTTTCTAAACAGAAACAGAGATGGTTCTGGAAAGTGATACACAAGGGAGCAGCGAGGCCACTCCGTGCTTCATCAGGGTCCTCACCCCAAGGAGCGGCATCAACAGGCAGCGGGGTCTTAAGCTGCTAGTTCTGCAGCCTGAGGGGCTGGAAGACCCGCCGGTGCTGGGACGTGCCCGAGGAGAGCAGGGCACGCTCCCCAGGAGGTCCAGGCCGGCAGGACAGCCCTTGGTCAGCAGTGGGCATGGTGGGCTAACTCCACAAGGGGCACGCTGATTGTAACTGTCACCCCACCACCTCTTTTTCTCTCTCCAGGAAGACTGTATCGCTAGATACAAGCTGCTGGTTGAACTGATTCAAAAGAAAAAACAAGCTAGAAGCTGAATCCTCTGGAAGATGATGTTTACCTCCATTTTCGAAAAGGATTATTTTAAAACTTATGCAGAAATTTGCATTTTGTACCTCAGTATTTCTATACGTCATGTGCCTTAGTGAAAAAAAAAATTAAAAATTTAAAATAAACGTTGTGTTACATTGTTTAAACATACTGTGTTAACAGAGAAAAAACAGATTTGGGTATTTTATAGATTATTTTCTCTCTCATCACTGCAAAGCTTAATTTCCTGGGGACAAAAAGAATAGTGCTTTTCTAACAGTCAGGCAAATGTATGAAGAAACATGAGTGAACTAATGTGTAAGAATTAAAACATAATGTTTCTTTGACCAAAGATCACACCACTTGATGAGTAGCAGGATGCTGGTATTTTGGGAAGAAAAAAACCTGGTTGGTGTACTGAGCTAGCTAGTAGGAGTGTGGGGTTATCTTAACTCTATGTATTAATATGTAGATTAATATATGTAATTATATAATATATGGATACATTATATGTATCTAAAAAAAAAGTCTAAATGCACACAGACATAAGTAATAAACTGTGGTGTGCAGAAAGACATCCCCAACTATGAATTTCCAGAGAACACATAGGCAAGGTTTTTAGGATCTGATGACTTTGGGTCCCACTTTTCAATATCCAAGTTAAAAGTCACTATTTTGTGCTGTTAATTTTGAATGAACCATCACTATCAGCTGTGCACTCCTTTTTAAATATGTCATTTGCTCAGGACTTGGAAATAGTTTGCTAAAGTACAAACTGCCTAAACTTGAAAACCATTAAGACCACCAGGACACATTTCAGGGAGGTGATCTGATAAAATATCCATACAGACATTGTTTTTCTCTAAGGATTGAAATGAGGCTCCCAGAGCAGGCTCGGGTGGCACTGGCTCTGTAACCTTCTAGCCTGAGCAGGACACTCGTGGCCCCGGGTCAGCCTGCCTCTGGTGCTGTGAGGGACCGGATCCCTCGAGACGTTGAGAAGAGCAGTGGAGAAATAGCTCCAGGTCGTCGTTCCCACGAACTGAGTCCTCGGGCAACAGCCCTTGAGTCTCATCTTCGGGGGGCGGGGGTGTGCCTTGCCTGGAGGTCAGGAGCCTGTCACCGTGGCACCAGGACTTTCTCCCGGAGCCAGTGGGGCTGTGAGGTGGTGACTGTGCATTCACTGAGGGACAAGCCCTGCTCCCTGTTCTCAGTGAAAGAAGTTGATTCACAGAGGGAATCATGAAGGGACGGTTCTAGTGGCTTGCCAGGCCCTGGGTCCATTCTGTCTCTGGTCCAGCATCAGCCTGTCTTTCACACAGTTTGCTTGTCCAGCTGTGACATTCTGTATCAAGATCACCCTTTTCACTTATGGTGCTTTGAACTGGGTCTCTGTTATATGCATCCCCAAATCCCATTACAAGATTTCTGGGCTTCCAGTGTTGGGAGAGCCCCACATGGGTCCAGTGATGCCTTAAGAGGTACAGTTTAAGATAAAAGGTCCTAATTTGCCTACCAACATCATCATCTGCACACTCATTAAGGAGGTGTCTCCAGCGTGGTTTGTCCTGATGACTGCCCCTGCCACCAGCCCCTCTAAAACCAGAAAGGGGCCCCTTCTGCATGGCCGCCCCTATTCAGGGGACACAGAGCGGCTGGTTTTGTTGAGGTAGGACCAGTGGGCCTGGTGGGGAGGGTTCACGAGTGTAGCAGGACACAGGAGACCCATGGGTGCGGGTGCTTCCAAAGGAGGTTCCTGACAGGTGATGTGGGGACCAGGCCTGGCCCCCCTGCCCTTCCTGACTCCCAAGGAAGCCGTCCCCAAACCCACCCCTCAAAGCCCCAGCTTGTGACCTCTGTCTGCTCACACCTCCAAGGCCGAGCTGTGTGACATCAGTGCCTTGTTTCACCTCTTTGTCTCAATTCCTTGTCTGGAAAAATAGAGACTAATGGTGGCTGCAACACAAGTTGTTATGATGACAGTCTGGCTTGCTGAAAACAATAAATGTTCCTTTTCTATCTGACCATCCGGACTTCCTGTTGCCATCATTTTCAGTGGCTGCTGACACGCATGACAGGGCTGACAGGCCACCAGCCTGTCACATGCTCACTTGGCCCCTCACATGTGGGAATCTTGGGCCCTGTGTGAATTCTTGGGGGTCTGGGAACCCTACCACATGGTATGCACAACCTTTTCCTTTTGGATGTGTAGTCCACATCTTTCACTAGGTGCCCCCAAAGGGTTTCTCACCCAGAAAAGCTAACTCTAGCCTCTGCTGGTGTGTTTAGTCTAATATAGCCACGGAGGGTCCACGTGGTACCAGAAGAACCCAGACTTGGCCTCTGACAAAAGAGGTCCAGGACTTTACCTGGCGCTCCACCCCACTCAGACCCTGGGAGGGGGACCGGCGGCAGGTGTCTGCTCTGTGCAGTGCTTGCAAAGCACTGGCCTGGCCCTGGCACACCCCCCAGCTGCACCTCCAGCCCCACAGGCTTCAGGGTCGTGCCCCCATCCACCCAGAAGCCTGAGCCTTTTCTCCTAGAGTGATTTTCATTTACTTTCTCCACCGGGGCAAGGGCTTATGGTTCTGTTCTTTCCACCAATGAGAGCACCGGTTTTCAAGTCCTGTCTCACGTTCTCCCGTGTGCGCTCACAAAGCCCCTACTGTTGGAGCAGGTTCCCACCAGAGCCAGCGCTGCTCCGAGGCCAGGTGCTGTCACCCGGCACAGGGACCGGCAGGCTGACTGCTTTCCTGGCTGTGCCTGATGATGCTTCCTCACTGAGACTCCAGGCGGATGACCAGTTTTTCTGTGACACTTGCTGTGGGAACCACCTAGAAGTCTCACGCTCTTGTCTCCCTGAGTGCCTGGCAAACATCCCAGCCCCACAAGATGAGCTCGGTCTCGACTGGGATACTGCTGCCCACAGGCCAAGTCTTCCCCTGAGTTCCCTTCTCAGTTTCAGAAAAATCATAAGCAGCGTTCCTGGTCAATGTTCTGGACGCCTTAAAAATGCCTCGTGCCTCTTGGTATGTGCCAGCCCCACCCCCACACCAAGTCCACCCACCCCTTTGAAAGTGGAGAAGGAACCCCTTTAAAATAGGAACCACTTCAGCCCCACTTACACCTATAGCGGAGCTGCAGTTGTTTTGCTTCAGTAGTTAATTTTCCTAAATCTTAAAGGGCACAGGTTTAAATTGTGACGTTCTATACTCACGGGGTAACTGCGTGTCCCAAGCGGTCAGGGACAGCCCCGGTTTGAACTGGTCCTCCCTGGACCCAGTTCAGAGCTCACCTCACATGGTCACCTGTCTGTGAGGTCCGAGAGTTCCCGCCTCACCTGCACCTCATGAGCACGCGGCTTCTGCATTTGTTTTGCACGGTTTGGGCTGAGAAAGCTGGAGGACAGAGGGGAAGTGAGCCCTGAACCATCCGGATGGGGTCTCCTGCCGCCAGGGGGGCCCCCTTGCTCCAGCGCACCCCCCTCACCCCCTTCACCGGCCCCTTCAGCGGCTTGCCGCGGGCGGGCCCCTCCTCCCCGCCGGCCGCCTGTGCCTCCACCTGTAGCTCGGATCACAGCGTGGCCTGGAAGCCACCCCACTGTCTTGGCAGGAGTCCCAGCCTCCTGTTTGAGTAAACTGCTTGGCCTTCAGCCTTCGACTTTATTCACCAGGGAGCTAAATTAACACGCTGTAAAACTGAGCGGCTGCGATTATTTTCCTCTGGTCTAGGAAAAAAAAGAATGGCTTCGTGTAGAACAGAAAAAGGGAAACCACTTTAGCAATCAGATCCCCAGGGGGAAGCTACCAGTGTTTCAAAGAGCCGTGTCCAAAGAGCACCGCGGCTGGTCCCCGGGCTGGAAGTGGGGTGAGCAGGCAGCTCCTGCCCCTCACTGGGTGCCTGGCCACTCTGACACCCCCGGCCCAGCCTCGGCAGGGACCCCCGAGTCCAGCTCCTTTCCTCATGACCCGCCCCCCCGCCACCACCACCCCCCACCCCTGGCCTCCATGTCCTCCCACTGCAGAAATGAAAAGACACCAAATTCTTCTGCAGGGAAAGTTGACTGCTCGTCTCTTGCGGTCACCACCTGTCAGAAGCCAGAAGCTCAGTGTCCCCTGGATTACTTCAGGAGTTTCACCTGATGAAGCCCATCTTTGATGAGTACAGTTTAAAAAGAAATCCTACTTTTACAGATGAAATGGACAAAGATATGAGAGGGTTATCTTTTTAAATGAAGTATAGCTAATTTACAGTGTTGTGTTCCTTTCCGGTGGTACAGCAAACTGATTCAGTTTTATATATATATAAACCTTTTCATTTTCTTTTCCATTATGGTTTATTGCAGGCTAGTGAATATAGTTCTCTGCGCTACACAGTAGGATCGTCATTTGAATCTCAAACTCCTAATTTACCCCTCCCCATGCCCTTCCCTTTTGGTAACCAGAAGCTTATTTTCCATGACTGAAGGAATCATCTTTTTATTTTGCCTGTCCTAAATTACAAAGGAAAATGAACAATCGCCATCATGTTTTCTGCTACTCAAAAAGAAATGTTTTGTAGAATTTAAGATAAAATATCAAATTGTTTATCCCAAATAATCTTGGTTCCAATCTGTCTTACAAAGAAGATGTTCCTGCAGTGACAGATAGATGCCTCTAGACACCTGACCCCAGCTGGTCTCCTGTTTTAAGAGGCTTGGCATAGGAAACCCTGATGGAATCCTCCTCTTCGGCTAAACTGAGATCTATCCTATTATGTTAACACTGGAGTCGAAGCACAGGATGTGGACTCTTGCCTGAGGCTGTCTTTCCATACAGGAGACAGGAGGGTTCTGGACTGGGGTGGGACAGGATCTCATTGTGCCAATGAACCCAAACATGCTTTAATCCTGGGACCAGTCAGCTCCAAACCACCCCCCACCCCTCCCCACTCAGCACCAGTGCCTGGCAGCAGAGAAATCCGCTGTCTGCAGTGGGCTGAGCAGCAAGGGTTGGGGAGAGAGGGCTGATAGGGCCGCTTCCTCCAGGAGCAGAGCCTGGGGTGAGGAGGGGCCGCCCAGCACCTCCTTCCTGGTCTCGGCTTGGACACTGACAACTAACCAGAACCAGAGGTGCAGAGATGGAGGACCGTTCTGAGGGAGAAGTTAAACATGGGTTGTAAATCAGAAGAGAGAACTTCCAAGAACTCGAGAAGCA